TGGGATGACATCGGTTAGGAAGCAAAGTAATTTGCCTGGTTGATAATTATTTTTTACACCTAATGATTCACCCAGTAATAGTAAAGAAACTTCACTGCTAAGATCTAATAGGCATATACCTGCTCTGTTAGCATATAAGAAAGACTCCAACTAATATCACTGGATCTTACGTTACTGGATGCTAAAGAATCCCCATAATTTTGATTATATTCTATTCTATCTAAAATTTCAAACCACCTCCAAGAATGAAGAGTTCTATTTCTGCTTTGCTAATTTACTGGAGCCTCTGCCCTTGAGTATGAGGGCTGTCTTCACCTAGGATAAATCCCATCTACCAGACAAGACTAACTAGCTCATGTTTGCTTATGGGGCAGGGGTGTGGGGGAGAGATTCTGTCCTTTATGACCATATGTCTTCTTTCTACACAAAGCACGCACAAATGGTATTCCAGGAAGCTATTTACATTAAATGACCTTTAAACATTATCTTCATATTTTACCTTGAATATTCATTTTCTTCATATTGCCTTCAGAAAAGCAATCCCTGGTCGAGAAATTATCCATGTAAGAAGCATTCTTCCAAAGTAAAATCTGCTAAGAGCATTTTAAAATAAACATCCTCCCCACAACAGCCTGCTCAAAATCTAACGACATATTTCCAGCTGTTAATATAAATAGATAAAAGTCACCAAAAGTGAGTACAGCCACATTGGAGATTCTTCGCTCTCTTCTTGTCTTTCCCCTCCCATCCCATTGCCATTATTTGGGTTTTGACTGTACGTAGACCACCTCCATGCCCAATGGGAGCAACCATACCCAGTTTTACTCTGCCAGGCTGGGCCACAGGTGGCTGCGACACCCTCTAGTGGTAGGACAGGAACATCACAATTGTGTTACACAACGCTTCTAGCCAGGACACCTCTCAATTAGGGTTGACCCTTCTCTGAGATGCTTCACTAAGGTCAATGTCCCATAGAAGAAACAGCCTTTGTGTTTCCCACTGCACGGCCGGGTGATGTCATAAAGCTGGCAGGGCTACCCGTGCCCTTCATTTGGCCCATAGTAATGAAAGCAGGCCTCTGTCATTTATTCTCCCTAGACTTCTTCTGACCAAACCTGAATTGCCTTGGTTGTCACAGACATGCTGGGTCTGAAGAAATGTTTGCAGAAGAGGTGGAGGTGAGACCACAAATGAAATTTTAGAGTGGCTTCCTGCATCATCTTGTTTTAAACAACCACTCAGCGGGTGGACTTGGGAGGGAATAGGTACCAACGTCATCCTCAAACCTCACCTTCTCCCCTCAGCAGCCGTAGACAGATGCTTCCAGAATGGCCACTCTACCTAACAGCAAACCCTAAATTCAACAGTGAGAGCCCAGACCAAACTATACGAAGCCCTTAGCAACTTACAAGCCACCGTTGTTGGTTGTCTTTAACTTTGTTGGTTGAAATATTCTGCCCCTCTCTCACGTTTGTGGTTCATGATTTTACATACAGAATTTACAAACTGCCGAGCACAAAAGCTCATGGCACTCCTATATCCACGCTCTTAAAGGAGAGTTGGTAGAAAAAAAGATTTGTTCCAATAAAACCTCTGACCCTCAGTGTTCACATCTGTGTTAACTAGGGACCGGGTCCCTTCCAGCTCTCATGGCCTATGATACCGCTGATAAGGGGTTAGCAACTCTAGGTCACTTCTGAGACGACTGATACAGTATTTCCATTTGCAGATTCCTGTCAAGAACGATGCATAATTAGGCCCAGATGGTGCTCTTCCACTAGCTGCTGTGTGAATATACACTTCTACTAATCACCTCTGCCCTCTTCCCATTTCAGAAGTGGTTGAGAGTTTCAATAGATGGAGCCCCGCCACCACGGCCACCACCTGCCCACTTCAGCTAGCAGTCTGAAGGCAGCTCCTGGCACGTGTGGGTGTGAAGAATAAGGGGGAGGACCGGGTAAGTCAGCTGCTTCACCTCCAGATCTGTAGGACACAACAGGCTGAGCAGGAAGGGTGGGGGTTGGCCTGTTATCCTGCAGAGATACGCTTCTACAACCATCTGTCACCTTCTTGCCCTCTGTCTTCCCTACACTAAGCCCATCTGGTCTTTCCTGCATGCCGTTCTATGCTCGGGTGGTAAGTCAAATCCTTTAAGGGAACATGTTGTTGGAAATAAATCAGCTTAATTAAAGTCTCTCTGCTGAGATAATGTAGTGACTACTCGGATTCCAGCTACTTTAACTGGAATCTAAATAATCAAGAGTTCCTCTTTTCCTTTCCCTCATTAGCTCAGAGATTTGCAGCTTTGTGGGGTGGAACTATGTCATGGGGCCATTTAATTAATCCTAGACTAGATGTTGGTAACTGGACCCAGAATCGTTTCTGCACAGGGCCACAGCCACGTGGCAGGTGTGTGGCTGTGGAAGGACAGCAGATGTGTATTTTGAGAGATCCATGTGGCTATTTGGGGGAGTCACCAGCATGGCTCTCTGAATCTCTACAATGGGTAGGTTCCAGCTAACAACACAGATGACCAGCTCTCCAGCACAGGGAGGCAGTCTGCACCGCGAATGGAAGCCGGGTTCTTTAGGATCATGGTGACTGGGAAGGAGCTGGGACTACAGAGGAGCCCCTTTACTCCTTCCCGTTGGTTCTGGCCCCCAGAAGACACCATGCAGACACTGAGCACATCAGGCACATGTGCAAGCTCAGGGAAGCCAGGGAGGCCTCCCCCAACCACACACACACACACA